GGGGGCCAGTTCTAATCCTGGCTGCCCCGCCTCCCATCCAGCTCCCTGCTTGCGGTCTGGGAAAGCAGTCCAGGATGGTCCAAAGCCTTGGGACCCTGCACCCATGTGAGAGACCCGGAAGAAGCTCCTACCCTTAGCTTTGGATTGGCTAAGCTCCTGTTGTTGGGGCTGCTTGGGGAGTGAACCATCGGATGTAAGATCTTCCTCTCAGTCTCTCCTCCTTTCTGTATATCTGACTTTTCAAAATTAAAAAAAAAAAAACTTAAACATAAATAAATAAGTGAATATTTAAAATAAATAAATAAATAGGGTGATGTGAGTAAATAAACTTACCACTGCAGGTGATGGATTTTTGCGATGACAGACCAACAACCTTTGGAAAAGAGGGAAAGGACCTCAGCAGCGTGGCCTAGCGGCTAAAGTGAACGCGCCCTAGATCCAATATGGGCACCAATTCTAATCCCAGCAGCTCCACTTCCCATCCGGCTCCCTGCTGGTGGCCTGGGAAAGCAGTTGAGGACAGCCCAAAGCTCTGGGACCCTGCACCCGTGTGGGAGACCTGGAAGAAGTTCCTGGATCCTGCCTTCGGATCGGCATAGCATCGGCCGTTGCGTTCACTTGGGGAGTGAATCATCGGACGGAAGATCTTCCTCTCTGTCTCTCCTCCTCTCTGTTTATCTGACTTTACAATAAAATAAAATAAATCTTTAGAAAAAAAAAAAGAAAAGAGGGGAAAGACATTAACAATCCAATATGAAAACAACAGGGCAGCTAATAAAGCTAAGTATAAACATAGGAAGCCAAAGGAATCAGAAAACTAAGTAACAGTTAGATTGCTCTTTTTTAAGAAAGAAAACAAACAAAAAAGATGGACATATGTATTTGAAAAGCTACAGAGCAAGCTGGTTCACACTCCAGATGGCTGTACCAACCCAGGCTAAGCCACGCTGAGGCCAAGGACTTCATCATGAACACAGAGTCCAAACAACTGAGTCATCTTCCATTGGCTTTTTTTTTAGGATTCATATTTATTGAAAATTCAGATTTATATAGAAACAGAGAAAAGATCTATCCACTGGTTCGCTTCCTAAATGACGACAGCCAGAACTGATCCGAAGCCAGGAGCCAAGAGTTTCTTCTGGGTCTCCCACGCGGGTACAGGGTCCCAAGGCTTTGGGCCATCCTAGACTGCTTTCCCGGACCACAAGCAGGGAGCTGGATGGAAGTGGAGCAGCTGGGACAGGAACAGGTGCCCATATAGAATGCCAGTGCTTGAAGGTCCAACATGAGCCTGTTAAGTCATGGTACAGGCCCCATCTTCCACTGTTTTTCTAGAATATTATCAGGGAGCTGCATCAGAAGTTGAGCAACTGGGACTTGACCCATCGCTCATATGGGATGCTGGTCCCGCAAGCTGTGACTCGACACGCAACACTACAATGCCAGCCCCTAGATTTCTTTTTATAATTAGGAAGATTAAGGAGAAAGGGAAAAGCTGACAGGCACATCTGAGAGAATAGTAAGTGATGACAGGCACCCAGAAAAAAAGAAGAATATAATAGAGCAGAAGACAGAAACACAACTTTTTCTTCTTGGAAAACTTAAAAGCAAACATTAGAGAGAAAAATCAACGTGTTTACCTATTTTCTATGCAAACAGAGTGCATTCAAAAATTGAAAAAAAATCTATTAAGAATGGTTAAATGGAGGTGCTACATATATTACCACAAAAGGAAAAAGAGGACAACATCTTTGGAGGTTCTATAACACAAATATTCCCAGAAAAAAAGGTGAAGCATGTAACTGAAAAGTGAATGAGAACAGGGCCCAGCGCGATGGCACAGTGGTTAAGGTCCTCGCCTTGTACGCCCGGGATCCCATATGAGCGCCGGTTCTATCCCGGCAGCCCCACTTCCATTCCAGCTCCCTGCCTGTGGCCTGGGAAAGCAGTCTAGGACGACCCAAAGCTTTGGGACCCTGCACCCGCGTGGGAGACCCAGAAGAGGCTCCTGGCTTCGGATCAGCATAGCATCGGCCCGTTGCACTCACTTGGGGAGTGAATCATCGGATGGAAGATCTTCCTCTCTGTCTCTCCTCTCTGTATATCCGCCTTTCCAATAAAAAATAATAGAAATAAAATCTTAAAAAAAAAAGTGAATGAGAACATGCAAGCAACAAAGGTATTTAAAAAGATCCAGGCAAGCTACAAATGTAAATCAGAAAATGACTTGCTTTCCAGCATCGCTACAATGCTGGATAATCCCAAATACTTGGTGAGTCGTGCCATAATCTGTTTCTGCAACAAAAGCAGCTTAAGCTCTAAATCATATTCTCTAAATCATATTACATCTATAAATAATTGTTTCAAATAAATGCCTAAATATGTATCTAGTTTCCCAAAACTTTAAAGTGTTTCTTAGAAGGTATAGTTCAACACCACCAAGACCTAAAACAACTGAATTTAAAATATTTAACAATGATACATGTCTCCACAGCTATCACTTTATAAGAACACAAAACACAGGACCTGTGCAACAGCCTAGCAGCTGAGGTCCTCGCCTCGCATGCGCTGGGATCCCAGCAGCTCTGCTTCCCATCCAGCTCCCTGCCTGTGGCCTGGGAAAGCAGTCAAGGACGGCCCAAAGCCTTGGGGTCCTGCACCCGTGTGGGAGACTTGGAAGAGGCTCCTGGCTCCTGGCTTCAGATCAGCGCAGCTCCAGCTGTTGTGGTCACTTGGGGAGTGAATCAATGGATTGAAGATATTCCTCTCTGTCTCTCCTCCTCTGTATATCTGACTTTACATAAAAATAACTTCATCTTTAAAAAAGCACAAACACAATAAAAACTTGGTTCTCATATTTGAACCTTTGTAAGCTTTTTAAACACAAAATTTGCTGTGGCTTAACCTCAAGTTCAACAATTAAAAAAAATGTTGAAATTGCATTTTTGTGCAAATAAACTTTCTGGAAGTATTCTGGGAACTTATTGCAAGGAAATCCATACAACACTAAGAGTATCCAAATCCTGAAGTGAATCGAGAGTCTTGCTTTTTTTTAACCCTCACATTTTAAACAAGACTTTGAAAATACAGTTCAACAGGATAAAACACCAAATTTATTTAGTGCTAACTACCAGAATTTTAAGGAAATCACAAATGATGAACTATCAAAAGGTAAAAACGGAACCAAAGGCAATTGCTGGAATCAGCAGGTCTTTTAACCCTGCTGCCTCAGTGCAGACCTGCCAAGCTTCGCTCGAGGGGAGAAAACAAAATAAAACCCAGGAGATGCATTGCAACCAGGTGCTTATCAGGAGCTGCAGCAGCTGTTCAGGGAAACTTCTGAACACAGAAATACCTTCACAAAGGTTTGCTGCTGAGGCCAAGTATGAACCATATAAGGAAACCGAAGTTCAACGTCATTTATTTTGTTCTGTTCTTTCAGATGCCCAACAATAACCTTCTTGGCTGCCTAATCCAAAAGCATAAAAAGCTATGCACTTTAAATTCCTTGATGAAGCGATTTGACTTAACAGAAATTACATGCTAGTTTACACTTTTCAAACAATCTCCAGAGCTCGGGCTCTCAGAAGAGTCCCGTTGTGAAATGTGCTTTTAAAAGATAAAGTAGCAAAGATCAGGTTGTGAAATAATTCGATCCTGATCTTCTAAACCAACCTTTTCTCTTTGAACGGAAGTCACTCTTTTTCCTCAGGCTTCCCGGAATTATTTTGGTTAGTATTTGATAAACCAAACGTCAACTGACGTGCCACTGGTTGACCAGATGGACCATATTCATTTAGTGTTTGCCAAAGAAACTTTACTTTCCCTTATTTTTCCCTACCCTTCCCACGAAAGTACTGCGGGAAAAGCTCAGCATACAAAGACACTACAACACAGCTGCAAAAAATCTATATATACATGGTGCGGTCTCGCTGCGCCCCATCCCCCTGGGCCCGGGCACTGGCACAGCTCTGCCAGGTGCCAGTCACGCTTCGCGAGTCCTGCCCCACACCAAGTTCCTAGCCCTTATTAGGCGGAGCACAACACCTAAACACCAAAACATGCCAACGCAAAAACGCAAATCCCATCGTATTCAGAGGCACAGCTTTACATAAACAGCCCAATCCGTGTGTTCCCCAAAAATACACCCCGAGTGTCGACTTCCCTCCATATATAGACTGTTGTGATCCGCGCAGAAGTTGGAGGGATTCGAACTGCTCGCAGGTGCTCACTGTGTCCTAATCACCAATCCGTGGCTGTATCCCTCACTCCCTGCTTTTCCATCCTCATGGGGGGCGGGGGGGGGGGCGGCCAGGAAAGTCCAACCAGAGACTTGCTTCCAATGCATGAACTAAGCCAGAATTTCGGGCGTCTCAACATCTGAATAGCATAAGCTGATACAACTGAGAAAAAAAGCAGTATCCGCCTCAAAGGCGAAAGCGGGCCAAGATTTCCTGTCCCTGACATGCCATGAACTAAACTGAACGAGGGTTTGAACTAAAAACAACAACAACAACAACAACAAAAATGCTCGCCAGGTGCTGGAGTCGCTAGCACTGTCAACAAACGCGGCAGCCATCTCAGTCACAGCAAATCATTCAGCAGCGACCCAACTTTCTTCCGAACGCAAGCCGCCAGACCGAGGAACCTGATCTACATTGCATACGTTCCAGAAAAACGAAAACTTCTGGACCTGGCGCCGAACAAAGGCATCCTTTCTTCCGATCGCTCAAAAACTTCGTCCCACTTGCATTCTTACACTCCCTTCTCAGCAAACCAGAGTCCAGATGGCAGCGCGGGGAGAGGGGGGAGGCAAAGGCAAAACAAAACAAAACAAAAAAACCAGCTCGACCATTATTATCCCATCCCAAAGCCTCCGCACCTGAGAAGCAACACCCTGCACGCTAACTTAGGGCTCCAAGCGTTCACCTCTATTCCGGCCCGTGAACTTGGCAGACTTCTTAAAGCCACTTTTCCGTGAAAAAAAAATTTTTTTTTACCTTTCGGTCGGACAGCGTCTCAGGGCTGCCGTCTCAAAGCTTCGCTTGACATGATCGCCTCCCCGGCATGAGTCACTCGGGCTGCAGCCGAAAACGCGCTCGGTCCCCGCACGGTGAGAGCGGATGTGCCGCCCGGGGGGCTGCTCCGGCGGGGGGCTGGGCTGCCTTCCCGCTCTCGACTTTTTGCACGAGTTTTCCCGGTCCCCAACTTAGGGAATCTCCGCCGCAAAACCGGGGGGTTTGGGGGAGGTGGGGGGAAACGTGGGGAGGGGAGGAGGAACTTTTTCACTCGTGACACCGCCCGGAATTGCCGTGCGAAACTCACTTCCTGCCTTGGCGAAAAAAAAAAAAAAGCAGGATCCAGCTCAGTCCAGGGGAACCCGGAACAGCGGCCCGGCGCGCGCCGGGAGGGGGAGGGGAAGGCCGGCCGCCCCGGGCCTCGGCGCCCCGCACGCCCCCCGCACCCCCGACGGCGGCGCGGCCCGGCCGCCCTGGGGCCCGGAGCGCGAGGCTGAGCCTCGGCTGCGCTAGGCCGCCACCGCCGCCTCCTCCTCTTCCTCCTCGCCGCCGCCCCCAGAGCCGGGCGGCGGGGTTATTGTCTGGAGAGCGCCTGCCGCGCCCTTCGCCCGCGTCGCCGTCGCCGCCGCCCGGAGCAGGAGTCGAGGGGCCGCCGGGCAGGCTCGATGGCGGGCCCCCCTCCCCGGGCCGTCCGTCGGGCCGTCCGTCCTTCCGTCCGTTCCTCGTCGCCTTCCCTTACTCGCTTCTCGAACGTTTCTCTCTCGCCTCTCTCGTTTGCCCCGCCGCCGTCCCTCCTCTGCCTTCCTCGTTCTTCTTCCCCCACCCCCGGCGGCGGCGGATCCCCCTCAGGAAGCGCGGGGGGCCGAGGACGGGCGGCGGGCAGCTCGGGCTCCTCAAGAGTTGGCGGGGCCCAGGGCTGCTGCGTCCCGCGCCGCCGCCGCGCCACCTTCCCTCGGCCGAGAGCCGGCGAGGGGAGGGGACTGGAGCCCCGGAGGGAGGGGAGGAGAGCGAGCGAGCGAGCGAGAGAAAAAGAGAGAGAGAGAGAGAGAGAGAGGAGGAGGAGGAACGGGGCTGGGGCGGCAGCCGAGTTCCTGCCTCACAGGCCGCGCGGCCCAGGCAACAGCGCCACCGCCCCGGCGGCCAGGGGGGCGAGGCTGTGCGCGCCGCGGCTCGGCCAGGGGGCGGGGCGGCCTCCCGCGGGCTGCGCCCCAACCGCCGGCAGCCGGGCCCGAGGCCGGCGCGAGCCAGTCAGAGCGAGCGCGGGGGCGGCGGGGCGGACGGCGGCGGCCGGGGCGCGGGGACAGGGCCGCTGGCCGGGGAGCCGGGGCGCGGGGACAGGGCCGATGGCCGGGGCAGGGCCGCTGGCCGGGGAGCCGGAGCGCGGGGACAGGGCCGCTGGCCGGGGAGCCGGGGCGCGGGGACAGGGCCGCTGGCCGGGGAGCCGGGGCGCGGGGACAGGGCCGCTGGCCGGGGAGCCGGGGCGCGGGGGCAGGGCCGCTGGCCGGGGAGCCGGGGCGCGGGGACAGGGCCGATGGCCGGGGAGCCGGGGCGGCTAGGGGCGCTGGTCCCCGCGGCTCCGAGGCCAGCCAGCCGGCCGGCCGAATTCCCCGCACACGCTTCCCGCCCGCCCACCGCGGCCCCTCCGCGCTCAGCCCAGCAAACGCGGCGCCGGCCCTCGGAGTTTTCTTTGTATATGCACCGCAATCAGTGCCCTGCGGTCCCGATGCGCTGGCAAGCAGGTATCTCTTTTTCGGTCGCGGGACTCCGACCTTTTTTTTTTTTTTTCTGTAATGGCACGCTCAGGTTTGCAAGCCTCGGCCGCCGCCGCGGCCCGGCGGGAGCTTCCCACGCCAACCCTGCCTGGCTTACTGGCTAGCCCCGCCGCCGCAGCTGGGGCTCCTCCAAGGTTCAGCTTCACGCCTGAGAGCAGACAAAGCTGGCACTGGCCGAGAGAAAATGGCCCGCGAAATTGTGTCTTTGTTAGCTGAAGCGCTGGATGCTGTCCGAAGGCGACTCGGGCTTCCAAGGCCAGCGGTGGCTGGTGGTGCAGTGGTTGGATTGCACTGCCCCCCCTAATTCATCCTGGCCGGCGTTTGCGTTTAGGGAGAGAATCTCAAGCGTTCTGTCAACACATATGGCGTACAAAGCCCGAGCCGTAACATTGCACAGTGTCTACAGTCAGTGTGTTAAACACGATGACAGACGGCCCTTGTTTTCCCCGGGGAGGGAACCTTCCAACCTCGTCCCCCTCTATTAGACTTCACTGTGTGGGGACTGTGCTTCGAGCCTGCAGGTCCCTAAAGTTACAGGTTCAATTCTTCCATCTGTGTTTCTGAGATAATTACTTATTACCAAGTTTGAATAAAGAGCTGTATACCCTGCAGACGATCCTTGGCCTGCATCCAAGGGAAAGAGTTGATAAGATGCCCAAAAACTTGTTTACTTAACATGAGCTGAACGCAAGTGACAAACACTGGGAGGCACTCCCGGGAGACAAGTCCACTTTTAAGGGACGGGAGCGCTGTTAGAGCTTCCAGAACTGAAATTGACACCAGTGTTGGTCCCTTCATGTGGAGCGAAAGTGGAAGAGAAGTACCAAAATGCATACAGGTCTATTTAGTGCTGAGATAGAGGTAAGAACATAAACTGAACGCCCAGAAATGCCAGGAAGGTAGACTAATAACACCAAGCTAGACAGCTATTTTATGTGAATATTAATCGTAGCCATTGCATAAGAAGCTAAAGTTAGCATACTGTACAAGCTATTTTTAATTGTCGCACTTTGGAAAAACTCATGAGTCTTGATCAGAACTTGGTGGCACAGCTCTGAACTGAAAATGTCGGGTCTCCTGAGCAAGCCAGGATGCAATGGCTCCCCACCCAGTGGACCAGCGGGACGACTCCGGGATTCCAGGCGTGCACCTGCTGTCACATTGACTTATTTTCAGAACATACACACACCTCTAAGTCTTCCCCTTACACACACACACACACACACACACACACACACACACACACACACACACGCACTCCTAAAGCCGTCCATTGACCCCCCACCACACACACACATGCACATTCATAATGAAGTCCTGCCCTGTCCCAAATGTAAATAAGGAAGACCAGACCACATGTAAATCTTGTCCTGATCCTTGGACTTAAGCTAACACTCAACACTCACCTGACTATCTACCACTGGAACTACAGAGACCGAAAACCCCTTTCCCAACTCACCTGAAATCCTGACATTAGAGTTTTATCCCTTTGAGTAGTTTGTTTCTCCAGAGCCGTAATCCCAGGAAGAGTGATAGTTTAAGCCCTATTTAATCCCTAATTCATCAGATGGTCTCCCTAAAAGCAGCTTTTGACGAAAAAGGGAATAACATATGTTGATCTGGAGCAGGCAGGAGGAAATGTGCTATCGCTCCTGGCAGCAGCATATGGAAAGTGGAGTCTAGGCAATAAAATGGCCCTCATTGGATTGTTAAGTCCTGCTTGCTCACACTGCAAGAATGAGCTCCGACACTGCCGTTGTGAGGATGCGAGCTGACACACACTTGTCAGTGGACTGCTGTCAGCTATTTCTCTGACGGTCGCTTTGTAAAGTACCTTCTCTTGAATCCTGCATCCTGAAGAATAAAACAATACTCTATGACCCGGATATCCAATACCAGGAGTAATGACTCGCCGGCGTTACTCATCACTTCGCTGTGATTCGTAGGAGCGGCACACTCAGATACAGCCAAGCTTAGGCTGGTTCTTTTTACAAAGCATTCATTCCTGTTGCGTGGTTTCCTGTGAAAATCCTCCTGTAGGACCTTGAACTAAGATGGGCTTAACCTTCTAATTATGTTTAAAACGAGAACTGGGTCCTGCTTCCCACCTTACACAAGGCTGCCTGTGTGTGTGGAAGAATGAAGTGAATTAATTCTGGGACCGTCTTGGAGAGCAAGCTAACAAGAGTCTGTGGGTAGAACAGCTTCATCTCTTCCTTCTCATGAGACTTTTTGTGTTTAAGAGTTATTTATTTTTATTGGAAAGGCAGATATACAGACAGGAGGAGAAAGAGAGAGGAAGATCCTCCATCCATTGATTCACTCCCCAACAGCCGCAACTGCTGGGGCTGCGCTGATCCAAAGCCAGGAGCCTCTTCGACTTGACCCCCTATGACTTGTCTTATGATGGTTGTTGGGAAGCGAATTTGAGAAAATGTGAAAAGAGTGAAGAAAGTCAGTAGTATAGATAGACTAACCCTTCTGAGGAAGTTGTTGTAGAGAATGATGCCCGGTCTTTGGTCTAAGTGACTCAGGTGATTATTAAAAAAAAAAAAAAATCTATGGCACCAAGATGTGGCTTTTTTAGGTTAAGCAGCTACCTTCTATGGCATCCCAAACTGGACTGGAATGCAGATTCAAGTCCCGGTTGCTCCGCTTCCAATCCAGCTCCCTGCCAATGTGCTGGGAAAGCAGCAGAGCTTGCCCCAAATGCTTGGGCCCCTATGTAACATACAGAAGATCTGGATGCATTTTCAGGCTCCTGACTTCAGCCTAACCCAGCCCTGCCGATTATGACCATTTGGGAAGTGAACCAGAGGATGAGAGATCTCTCTCTCACAGCAGTTCAAATGAATATTAAAAACAAAACCAAAAACACTCCATCAGAAAAACACAGTCAATTTCTATTGTTGCTTTGCTCTGGAGGAACAGAGAGGACACTAAGAACAGAAAACACTTTCTTTCAGTTACGGTGCTCCTAACAGTGCAAGTTCGGGGCTCATTAAATCTCATGTCATTTATTCATGAACTTAGAATTGTGGTTGCTTTTATTTAAAACTGGCATTCGATAAGTCCCTAAGCAACCACAATTTGGAGTTAATTCTACTGACATCTTCTCCCGGCAGCACACATGCAAACTTCTAACCCAGTTCCCCGCACACAGGCGCCCTTCCTCATCTCAGTGCTTCAATCTGACTGGCACCTCATTGACATCCCCACAGAGCAGGAATGCGTTATTGTTACTCTGCTTTTCTTCCTGCACTAAGCATTGGTAGTCTGTAGCTTCTAAGGAATTTATTCACGTCCTCTTTTCATGTGAATGTTTTTTAAATATTTATTAATTTTTATTGCAAAGGCTGATAAACAGAGAGATGTTGGGGTCCATGCAGTGGATGTGGGGGACACAAAGGTGTGAAGAATGTTGTTGCATTGCAGGCAGGGCCACAAGGAACTTCCTGCTGTTTGGCAGGGCCCAGTGGATGTCTACAACCACCTGAATGCAGCTCCACCTTCCTTTGCATGGACACTGGACCACTCTGCGGAAGAACTCTAAGCCATTCAGGCTTTGTTTGCTACTGTGGAGTTGGCTTTTTTACTTAATGTGAGCTTGAAGGTTAATGTCAATAATGTCTTGCAAAAGGGC